AACAGACAGAAAAGAGGGAGACCCCTTACAGAAAAGGGGCGAAAGGCTTAAACTGCAGAAACAGCAGTGTCCACAGCTTCCGGGAGGGATCCAGAGAGCCCCACCACAAAGTTCTGCCTGCTGATGTGACAGCACATGAAACACAACCATTTCCAGTCACCATCAAGCTCCCTTCTCCTGGGGCTGCACATGGCCACAGCTTGGAGAGGGAGGTCCTACAGCCAGAGTATCAGGCAAGATGGGTCCTCAGTCTAAGCTCGCATGCCTGCTTTGATGTTATCACTGCAGCATAACAGAGCACCAGAAAAGCCTTTCTCTAGGATGAAAACAAGCTTTCACTAATATTTTACAAAATCCAGTCCCTGCCTCAATAGCTACATGGCAAGCGTTCAGAGACAGAATTTTTCATCAAAAAGATATTTTTATGAGTGGGAAGAGCAGCATTTTTTGCATCAGTTTCACTGTGGAACTCATAAGCCTGTTTCCAATAAGGCTTGTACCTCCCAGCACTACTTCTGGATGCAGCAGCCTACAACAGGGCAAAACCACAGCACGTATCCATGAAACCATAATCAAGCCTACAGTTGCATCGATGTTTGGCTGAGATATGCAGTAGACATTTCATGAGCAGCTGTTATTCATAGTGCTCCTTTTTGAAGATGGGCACACCCGTGTCTTCTGAAGATACCTACCCATGGCTCTGGAGTCAGACAGCTCCTATGGTTGGCAGTAGAGCACTGACCTCCACAAAACATGACTGATGGAAGAGATGGCACAAGGCTGTTGGAAAGAGTCAGATCGAGAAGGAATGCTGAAGCCCACAAAGCATGGTCATCCTGGGACTCTGCTGCCCATCCAGGCCACCCGAACACAGATCAATGCAGCATGGGTCCAAACAGAAACTCCTGTATCTCCTCACAGTGAGCTAATTCCAGCACTTCTTTGCCCTGCTAGGTATGCAGCACATCTTAGGGCTTCTGGCCACGTGAAGACCTGCATGTGCAGCTTGTAGGACTTGGAAAACTGGCCAACTCTGACCTACTTTTTCCAGGTTGTTGGGCTGACAAAGGAGAAGGGTTTGGCTTGTTTTCCTGTTGGAGCTCCCTTGCAAAATTCAGGTCCTGCTTCATGGCCTTGTAGGAAGAACATTATCTGATGACACGTCAACAGTTAAATCAAGTATTGTAGCTAAGTTAGGGTGCGAGACCTGCCAGAAGTTATAAAGTAAGCAGCTGGATTAGTACTAAATGAGCTGTTGTAATGGAAACTGTTGCATCCCTGATCTATTACGAGCAAGCAAATCTCCAATTCCTTCCCTTTTGGCTAACTTTTTGGTTTAAAACACTGCATATGTGTGCCTGAACTTTACTCTTGTATGTGACTCTGGCTTTAAATGAACCAGCTTCAACACCAAGACCTATGGCTCTAAGTAAACACAACCCCATGGGTAAGTTCCCCCAACCTATTGACTTGGAGGAAACAAACAGCAAATGAAACCACAGACATCACCTCCTCTTCCCATCCATACTGCTCAACTAGATTCTCGTGCCAGGGCCAGGCAGGTGCAGCAGGCGGGGACAGATACCCATTTGTCTTGCAAAATGCCACAGCTCCGTAGCTCCTTTGGAGAAGCGGAAGGCAGTCTGGAAGAACACCAACCACACTGGAAGAACATCTTGACTTGCAGGAGACATATATTGCTCCTTGCTGCAGCATGAGCTAGCCAAGCCAAGAGCTACCTCTAGAAGACCCATCTAGATCCTACAGAAGATCCATCTCCACATTAGCAAGTTTTGGAACCAGGGTCCTAGTGTAAGAACCATCACTGTTTTCAAGCATTTCTCTTCCAGCATGCTGTAGTTTTGGATTCTGATCTTTCGAATAACTGATCAAAATCTAAGATAAATGAAAATTATTTGCATGGAAAAAATTGTGATGCAAGTATTCTTTTCTTAGTATTTTGATGTTCTTTAACACTGAGAAATCAAATCCAAGCTACCACAGCTTGGTAACTCAGAGACTGGTATGACACAGATTCAGATTTGATTGCTAATCTCCATCACATCACTCTAATAAAGATTTTAAAGCTCACCGAGACAATAGGAAACCTCAGCCAAAAAAATAAAAATAGAAGCTGGAAAAACATCTGGCAGCTATCCTAGCTCCAATTTTCTCTGTTGTTCCAGTCACCCAGATTGGCCAGGAAATGAAGAAAACTTTTTGAATCAGCAGTGCTGTACATGAACTGTTCACACAAGGAAATTCATAGCCTGTGGAAGTGGCAGCATGTTTGCCTATGACTAAGTTTTAAGGCTGATACAACCAGGTACGCTCTTCATTAACAAAGAGTGTAGAACATCTTTAAAAATTTGCTTGGAATTCCACAAGCTAGGCTTGGGGAGAAAGAGGTGTGGATAACTGCCACAGTGGCTGGGCCTCCATGCCCAGCCAAGTCAGAGCACCATGTACACCAGACCCAAGATCCCTTGAACAGAGGTTGACTGCAGATCCTTACACTAGAAATACAGCAAAATTATAAGCACTTCCATATATTTAATAACTTGGGTCTACTTTAACTCTTCAAAGCTATTCCTGAAAGCTATCAGTCTCAGAAAAAAATAGCAAAGCTATAAAACGTGGCTGCAAAGCACAGCAGTACTTCAAAATACAAAGTGATCAGAATTGTTGGCCACCCTTGCCCCATAAGCCAGAGAACAAGAATCTCCTCAGAAGGCAGCATTTGACATCCTGTAGAGATATAAAACTTTCCTGCACCTAAGAAGGATTTTCCAAAGAGAAGAGTTCCTGTTCATACACTGGGCAAAAAAATACATAAATAAATGTAAATTAATTAAAAATTTTCTAGTAGACTTTTTAACACCTGAGGCATTCACTTGTGGCCTGGAAAAAAACAAACCATTAATCTCTCACGTTCCCAGGGCCTCCATCACCACCACGCTGAAACGTTACTTCTCTTGCCCACAGAGCTGTTCACTGTCTATAGAAAGTGGAGCAACCCTAGCAGAAGAGGCTGAGAGAAACCCACCAGAAGAGTCAAGAACTTGGTAGTGCCTCTCACACAGGACAGCAACAATCAGGACTCCACCCTGACCAGGGAATGTGATGTTATGTATCACAGCCACTCCCCCTGTTAGCAAGTCCTGTGCTTGAGAACAGAAACCAAGAGTAAGATTTCAGAAATTCCTTTAACATGTTGCAGTTTTGACAAATCAAATGAAAAAAATACTGGCTGGCACGACCAGTAAAGGCCCTGTGCTGCTCACAGCTTCACGCATCTTTCTTCAGTATTAACAAGATTACTGATTTGATCAAATAGCTTCCAAGCTCCAATACACAGAGATGTGTATGTACACAGGAAATAAAAACATTGCTTCTGTTTCTGTTTTGGAAAAATGAAAAGTCATCTGAGTTGGGTTTTTCTGTTGTTCGTCGCCCCACACACACACACTTCAGTGATTTGCCAGGACTGCAAGAACAAGCCCTGGGAATTTGGAAGCTCACTGTGAGATGCCCGAGGTGCCTCGGGCTACAGAGCACTAGTAGCTGCCTCAGACAGGAAGCCAAGCAGGTTTCAGTAGCCCTTAAGCACAGTTCTGCCAGGTTTTATCAGAGTGCTTCCTGAGTAACTATTCAGTTTCGATGATTCAGTCAGTTTTACAAAACATTTTCTTTTTTTACTGGAAGAAAATTCAGTGTTCTTGATGCATAATATTTGGAATTTATGCTATAGGACCATACCTGCCCGGATGGTCTTCTGGCTTTCTTTTTAACGCATTCCATAGTCCATTTAATATAATAATTCAACCCCCCTTCTTCCCTTCGCATGCTCCCCACACTCTATCTCATGCCAGGATCCTGTGTCCTCCCATTTTGCTTGTCTTCTCCTTCACACAAACCTGTGGGGTCCCTAGGCCAGACCACTTCTCCCATGTTTTCTTACATGAACACCCTTTCAGAAGCTGCCACAACAATGTCCCACAGCACCTTCTGCTTGTGCTCTTCTCTTCACCCCACGGTAGATGCTAAATGGATTTCCATTTCTTCCCCAGCCAACACTCCCTGCTATTTCTCCCCAGCCACCCACCTTGTTTGATATCAATGCTGGATACTAAACATAAAAGAAACATTCACCTGTTGAAGCAAAGACCATGCGTTAGAGCAGCTGCTGTAGTTTGACCTGAAAAAAGTTCAAAACCCCAGGAATGTGCTGGGAGGGAAATCTGCATCTCAAACCAGCTTGATCAAAGAGCAGGAGCAAGGTACCACTCAGCCTGCAGTCTCAGGCTATGTAATGCTATGGATCAAGTGCCAGGGAAAGTGAGACATGACCTGACAGCAAAACACTCATCAGGAAGGAAGCAAGAGTATTCTTTTTATAGACTGAGCCAATATATTATTCTCTCTCTCTTCCCTCCTTAAGAACAGATGAGAGTTTTCATGGGTCTCTCTTCCTAGTTGTTTCCTGTTCAGCTGCTAAGTCTGGAGACTCAGAAGAGCAACTGAAAAGGGAAGAAGTGCTGGAATCTTATATAGCTCCCCATCATGAGATCTGCTTATTCCCCCCCACGCTTAGTTGTACTGACTCAGCAGAGCTCTGGGCTTCTTTCTTTCCAAGTGTTCGCACCACCAAACCACAGCCTTTTGAATATACAGCAGTTGCCAGTTTCACTATACTCAGAACAGCACTTCCGACTACGCCAAAAAACTAAACGTAGGTGGCGTCTGCTTGTAGGCAAATTGTTTACAACTCACTCATCTGTTCTGGATCGATGGAAAGAAGGAGTGGCAAATCAGCTTTCTGAGTTGAAGTGAACAAGCACTGAAATGGTTACACCACTCCAGCTTTAACAAGCAGGACGAGAAAAAAAAACACTACACAAACAATCTTTTAATGCATGACAATCTTGTTGTGTCCCCTTCCCGTGCCTACAGAAACAGTCTCCTAGAAAAAGAGGCAAAACAGAAAGAGAAATACTCACGCATGTCACCAATGGCTCCTTTTGTGACATTTGTGGCTTTCCTTACTGTCACAGTGAATATATGAGAATACTGGTGTTCCACCTGGAAGTCAGAGAGTTAGAGGTGATTAAGTTCCAGAATCAAAAAGCAGCTATTCTATTAAAACAGGTGTCATTTCATCCAAGAACTGAGAGAGAAATCCCCAAGCCAAAGTGCAAATGAAATGCCTACTGGATAAAGCATCTTAAAGCTGAACTGCACCCTGCAGCTTTACTGAAAGGTCAAGCCTTACACTAGGGTTGCTTGATTTTCCTGCAGCCACACCTACTAATCTCAATAAATAACTCTCCTCCTCTCTACAGAACCTGCTTTAAGGCATTTAGTCAGTCAAGGACAACTTGGTATGGTAAGAAAAATAAAATAAAAAGGGGGCTATTTTACCATGTGCTCATCTTTGTAATTACCTTTCCCCAGTAAAAAGAACAGGTGCAATTACTTCTGAGTACATGTTCTGGAACAGATATATGCATACTGCACATGGAAAGGATAAAATTAGTAAAGCACAGAGTATACTTTTTAGTACACATCATTATTCAAAGTGTAAGTCTCCCTAAGACAATGGAGTGAGGGCAAAAAGCAAGGTGTTGAAACATCCACAAGCAAATTTCACACTGTTTTTGGAGTTTTTTACAAGAACTGCCTTTTAAAAGTAGCCAGAATATATGTCCTGAATGGAAGCAGTGAGATTAAGAAATTAAAGTAAAAACCTCAATGGAAAGAGGCCAGTAGCTCACATCTATTTTGCTTACATAGTCACAAGTTTGACCAAACTACTGAATGCCATCAGGAGTAGCATCACTGTGTACAGACACCATCAGCCTTCCACAAGGAAGATGAGCATGGGTAAGCTGTAAGCACTCGGTATTACAACCAGGCACAAGTCCCACACAACTGTCTCCGTGTGCTCATACCTATGCTGCAACCTTAACGCCCAGCCTGACCATAGCTCCTTTGGCTGTCCACACTGCCTGGACACTGGTTCATCCCCCGCACCAGCCCATGAGCCCTCCTGGGATGGAAATTGGGGCACCCCCTTGCCCCTGAGCTCTGCTCCTGCACTAGGCACAATGTCCGAGCTGTTCTCCAGCTCCCAGAGGAGCTCAGGCAGTCACCTACAGCTCATACACACACCTATGTCACAGGTCTCTGCCTTGACATTCTTGCTGTTTTTTCTTATTCGCCCATTAGAATCATTAGGACAGCTAACCACATACTGAAGATCTTGCAGTGTATCCCAATCAGAAGAGAAAGGGAACTACCAGAATCAGGAAATTCCTTGAAGTTTACTTAAAATAACAGACAGCACCTTTAGAGTGGGACATGCTTATTCAGGCTGCACCCGGTGCTTTTTGTGTGTGTGTGTTTTGTTTCAAAACACCTTTTTTAAAGGAACAAACAGACAAGCCAAAAAAAAAACACACTACAATTCATTATTCATGGTTTAGCTTTAACAGCGGCTTGTACTTCCATTTAAGCTACAGCTTGCTTCAACTGCTAGACTTATAAGGGCCTTCAAGAGGTTCTCACAGTTATTGCAGAACTGGTTGTTTCAGACAAGCCCCACTATTTCACATACATGATATTCTTGCACCACAACCAGACTGGATCCCGCTTCAATACAAATAAGATAAGAAACAACAATCTCTTGTAAGTTACATATTATCTGCTCAAAAATAAAAAATAAAAAATCAATCATCATCTATAGATACCAAAAGTGGTTTGTGAATTCTTAAGTAAGAGCTGAGTCAAGGCTCATTGAAAAAACAACAGCAGAAACACAAACTCCTCCCCAACTCTGCAGTCTAGAAGTTTGCAAAGGCACAGTCACATCACAGTGGCAAATACCTAGGGAAAATGCCCCCAGTGGTGCTAAGGGTATGACTTCACTGCAGACACTGGCTGACCCAGACAATGACTTGCTGCATCTTCATTCAAGCTGTAGTCACCCGCAGGTAGGGGGATGTCTGGAGGCTCGTTTCATGACAGTCTGCCCAGCAGGAAATACCAACTCTGTAATTTTTCCTCTGTAAAGCTGTAGGAGTTGTCTGGTTCAGAGAACAAGTAAGCAAGCAGTGGGAAAACTGTGGCAATGCAAACTATTAGCTTACAAGCGGTATACTGAAGCTGTCATTTCGCAGCAAGCGGCTCGCCAACTGCAGCAAAAATGGGATCCAGCCTCTGGCCAAGTCTCCCAGCCAGGACTGTTAACCTGCTCAGAAGTATCAAACTGAGCAGGAAGGTGTTAGATGTGTGACTTCACATCTATCGCCTACTTAATTTAAATCACCTATTTAACAGCCTGCCATGTCCTGACAGGAAGACATCCCAATAATTTCATGATATCTATCTTTTGCACTGCAGTTTCCACGAGTGGATGGAAGAACAGGAAGGAGGTCAGGACTTCTCACACAGCTACATAAAACTACCCCAGCTCTGAAATTACATGGTTTCAAGAATTTTTATAAGGTGTCAATCTCCAGAAAACAGGTTTTCTCTCCATCCCTTGTTTCTAGCTTGCTTTTTGAGTGTGCTCAAAGCTGTTTTATCAGCGTGTGCCACATTCATCCATGTCAGATCGCTGAAGTGCTGGTTTCACAATGCAGTGCTGGCCCCAGCATTTGTTCACCCAGACTGATGTTGTTATATCACTGCTTTGTCACATACAACCTTATAATTAAAAAGAAACAGCCCAAAGTACAAAGACAACACCCTTCCCCTTATTCTTAGCTGTTAGGAAAGCTCCTGTCCTTGCTTGAGACCACAAATCAGAGATCACTGAATATTTAGCAACAAAGAGGAGGCTGAAGTTATAATTAAGTTACGAGTATAGAACAAGGGCGTGCTGGATTTTGTTCTCAGCTGCTATGTGAAGCTCGAGGACAATTTTGGTCCCCAGAGTCCTGCCTGTAAAATGGTGATACTGTAAGATGTTCACCTACAGAAAGCACTTCTGGAAAGTAGTTTGCCTGCATCTCAGTCCTATCCATACATCTCACATGCCTAAATAAAATGCCCACTGTCAAAACAAGGATAAAACACCACTCACTGGAATTTTCTCATTACAGCAATATGGAGATTGTCATTACTTTCTATTGCAAGTTGCTACCTAATGCTACCATGAGAACTGTTTTTTATTGATGTAAGCAGCAAACCTCTTAATTCCAGCTGCTGTTGTGCCAAGAAAGTTAACTGTGGCACAAGATTTGGTATCCTCCAAAAGCACTGTGAATATGCAGAGGCCTGGTAAAACAGCAGAAAACCATTATCTTCTTTCCCCATGCCTCACCCAAAATAACAAACTGAGGCTCATAATTACAGAGTTATTAATATCTAGACTTAATCACATGCTTAGAAGAAATTTGTACAGGACTAAAATAAATGATCTCCCTCTTAGTAAAAATGTACACAGATACACAGGAAGCTTCAAAGCCTAGATCTTTTCTATCCTAAAATAAATGTTTTTCATGCAACTAAAGCGCAAACGGAAATTAAGGCAATTTTCCACTTAGGATCCAGTTTCTAAGAGACCTAAATACCCACATTACCAAAGAAATGATCCCAAAAGACTTGCTGGATGTTAGTTTTTGGAAAGAGACTAACTCCTACAGAAGTTAAAAGCCCCCTGAAAATACAGTATATTGACTCTAAACACTTAAATCCTTGCTAATTTAGATGACAAAGCTATGTTTTCTGATGTGACTTAGTTCACCTTATGTCTTGATAAAAATCTGTACATTGCCAACTCCTCAATTACTTCAGAGGAAAACAAGATGGTATAAATCACTTAAGCATTGCAACACTGAGTGGAGCAACATCTGCATATCTTTAAATCTAAGACAGGTTAAAAATTGCAGAAGCTCACAAAACTGAAAAGCCTAAATCCTCTCTTCCAAGACCTGGCTTTACATATTTCTTTCACTTTACTTCTTTCTCCATAAGTTTTGAGAAGGAAGGAGAGAGGCAGAAGAGGGGGGAAAAGACAGAAACAGCCACCTTCAATAAAGATTGCCTTCTCTAAAGATGGGCTTTCTAAGTTATGACAGAATATGCTCTCCTTGCTCAGTCCACTCCTTTTAGGTACAAGCACTAGGTTTTCCAAGTACACAGAACAACTGTTCAGTGTCTCCTGCCCTCACACGTCTCCTTCTTTAACTCCTCCTCCTGCCTCCTTCCTTTCTTTTCCACCTTGAACTGTGTTTTTTCTCCCAGTAAAATTTCTCTTATTATCTAATTCCCCTCATTTATACTTTTATACATACTTTTGCACTACAAGTCTGGGAAACAAAACAATGCTCTAAAAATCTGCTGTAGCACTATCAGGTTTTGCCTGTGAACTTTCCACACTTACCAGGAAAGCAATGAATTTGCATGTGTTGAATACAGTATTTTTCATCCCCCAGAATGCTGAGTCACAAAATATCACTCAATCAGGAGATATAAACCAAATACAAATCAGGAAGGTCTGGTATACCTTGCGTAATAAGGATTTACTACTTCTACTTCCTTAACTATAAGCAGGATACTCAAGCTGACAATTGAGCTGGACAAATGAAAATGTTTGCTTATTTTGTTAAATAACAGATTTTAATGAAGTTCATTCTTTTACATGGATATTACAAATGAAGGTAAATATTTGTGTATACACATACATTTTGAAGTTATTTCATTCGTTATTGTAATATTTAACCCCAATACCAAGTTAACAAGTTATATTATGTCTCAACTCTTCTCTGAACCCAAAAGCATTTTGTGAAGCAACTCTGTAGCAACTCTGTGAACACCTTCTTTTATTCCTTCTAATCTTTCATAAAAAAAGGAAAGAATAAAAATAAAAGAGATCAGAAAATGCATAGTGGTTAGCATAAGGACTTTTGGAAAATGCAGAATTCTTTTGAGACTTTTAATGCCAAGGGTTATAAAAATGCACTATTTTGCACTGATATAAGCCTGCTGCCCCAAGTGTGCAAATTTTAGTAAAACTTTCCTTGCAATTTAAATTTGAATGAAAAAAAAAACCTCAGACTTCCATGCATTTTTCAAACAACTACAGAATCAGCTCTTGCATTAACAATAGTCCTGCCAGCAATTACAACATCGCTGCATCAGAATTCAGCACTGCCAGAGGACTGTAATTATTTATTCTTGTGAAACTGTATCTTGTTCACTATGGTGCACATACTGGTGTCAAAAGAGGTATTTTGTGTGAATGAGTCAGTGAAATGAGTGAATGCATCTGAGACCGCTTTCATAAAGGTACACAGCAAACCAAATATTCCATCCAGGAGAGGGCACTGATAGTGAAAGGAATATGTTAGCATATTGTTTTAAACACTTGTAAATAGAGACATCAACATGAAACTTGTCTTTACAGCAGCATTCACAGAACTGCATAGGGAGTAAAACACAAGTTTGACATCTGTAGGCTGCAAACTCACATAAAGGATGTGACTGCGTGGGGTGGAAACCACATTATTGATAAGAGATCATGTCAAGGAAACACACACTATATTTTTAGCAATGTTCAACATTACGGCAAGTATATAGTAACTATCTTTGAGTATGTATCACTTTTCCTGCCATGAGATTCTGGGACAGTTACGAAAAGTAGCTCATAGGAACAATATCAGCTTGTTTTGAGATTTCAGTTTTGATAGAAATTGTGATTTCAGTGCCTACTTTAGAAAGTCATTCAAGCAGAGATATGCGAGAGCACACTGCAGCCACCGTGTTCAGCAAGCTGCTGACCGACCCATCCTGCTGGCTTGCCACCACACAACAGGCAGTTTTGTTCCCATTTTCCTTCTCCTTCCTTTGCCCCCTACTTCTCCATTCATACAGCTTGTGTTCATGTGGTTCTGCCCTTTGCTTGGGCCAGCTCTGACAGCACCTATCTCATCTTCTGCCTCAAACTGGTTTTCTCTCAGTTCAGCAAAGTCAGTGAGCTCACTCAGATCAGCTGCACTTCAGAGCTGGTACAGGGGATGCAGGAGGGCCACTGCAAGGCAGTGGGAAGGAGGGAGCACTTTGGCACCAATGCGTTGTTGAGCGGCACAGATCTTCTCACTGATCCTTACCTAGAGTTTACAGGCTGTATGTTGAAGATTCTCTTTGAATCAACATCATTGATAGACACTGGTTTAAAAACAGTGTATCTAAATTTGCCAATTCGTCCCTCCACCCATACTGATGAGAAGGGAGAACCATAAATTCATAAAATTGTATAGAAAAACTGTATCGGAAGGGAGAAAGCAAGTAGCAGCATAATGTTACTTTTGTAGGCTACTGACTAACAGTGTATAATAAACTTGTATGATAAACTAGTCAAATACAGGCACTTAATGAAATACTTCAAACAGGCAATTCCCTTAAAACAATACCCTCATTACGTTAAGTTAGAAGCCTGTATTCTGTTGTGATTTATACAAGAACAACTCAAAGTCATTACCTGTTTTTGAAAAGCTGAGTTTCTTTCAAATCTCATTCAAATAAATTTCTTCGTAAGTTTGCTCTAACCACACTTAACTTTACTTAAAGGAATTCACAATAACTCTAGTTCTGTGTGATTATTAGAATAACTTATAAAAGAATACATGATACAAGACAATACACAAGAAACTATAAGTAGAAGACATATAGCTACTTACCACGATGTGTTGATAAGGATCTATGAAGGACATTTTTGTCTCAATTTTTATTCAATACAACTGTCAAATGTCTAGTTCAATTCCACACTGAAGAGGCTTCTCAGTTATTCAGAGGTCAGTATGACAGATCCTTTAACTATTAAATAATGAAAAAAAAGGTAAAATTCCTGTGTTCCTTTTAAACTGTATTTTGTAACAGAACAAACAAGTTCATCCATTTAAAATGTTCCCACAATTCATTTGTTAAGCAAAACTTTATTTTCATACAAGCTACTGAGGTAGAAATATTTACTTGCCTGAACTACAGAAATGTCTTGTGCTTATTTCTTCTGACTCAGTGTAACAGTACAAACAAAATATCTTCAATTCCAATCATCCAAGTGCTTCCGGCACCTCTACAGATAAAGAAAAGAATAAAGCAATTTCATGTATACAATAGGTGTATTCATATGTATATGTTCATTGTAATGCATGGAACTAACTAAATGACTGCTTAGGTAATACACTTTTTACTGTAGTGACAAATTCTTGACTCCTGGAGCTTGCCTCTACATGAAGGTGTTCACATGGTCAAGACAGACCAGAGATGAGGCTCCTCTTTTTGTGTCTTCCTTACTACACAAGGATACATTCTACATTCACACCAGGAGCTGTGAAATTTAGAACTGAACTCTAGCATGAGAGTCGGCAGCTTGCATCGGACAACTGCAGCCCTCCATGGCGAGGGTCATGGAGGGTGCAGCTTTTAACACCACCTTCGCTTTCCACGCTTTTTCCTCAAATGAAAAATTCACAAAGTTGCACCTAACTGCACCGAAAATTGTAATGGAAAACAAACTCTACTATCTCAGCAGCACCAGCACAGGGGAGTTATTAGTCAGCTTTCCATTCATCAATAAACTAGCAGCAACAGTGCCCTCTGTAAACCTGGAGAGGAAATTCCAGATAGAGCTGTACATGTAGATAACTCCCCCAGGCATCCCAGCTGCCTACAGAGATCCACAGGAGGTTTTGCTGGGCAAACTGCCCACCACCTTGCAAGATTTAAACAGGTTTTCCATAGGCCACAATTTTCTGAAGATTTTGTGAGGATTTCTATTGAAAGTGGACTACCCAAGGCCTTACGCTTCAGATTTTCTTTCAACCATCAAAGTAAAATACATTATGAAATGTTTTTCCTTTCTGTATCTCTTAAGAAATAATAATAACAATGATAATAACTGCTGGCCAGGACTGGTTCTCAGATTCACGTACACCACAGTCACACCTGCGCCACCAGCACAAGCCTCAGGCTGAAAAGCAAAAAGCATTCTGTGAGGCAAATGTTGCCTCTTCACCCATTTTTGAAGGACAGAATAAGCCCTGAATGGTGATTTACGTTATTTCCCAAAAACTCACTCAAGCAACTACATGCACACCTTCCCATAAAAGATTTTTATCACCATGCTCACTAGAACACACTGCATCCCTTCTTTGATCCTGTCAGCCCTAACAATAGCTTGAGGCTAGAAATTACCCTGATTTTATTTACTTATTTATTTTAATCTAAGGAAGTCTGAATAAGAAACACTGCAACACACATTCCGTTCATAGTTTTCATTTAAAGCAGCTCAGTGTCAGGGTACCAGGAACAACCCATCTTTGTTACAGGAAGCAAATAGCTTTTCAGACCTAAAGGATGCTAACACATAACACGTGTTTATTAACCCTATTCTAATAACAACTGCAAAGACTTATATTTATTAAAAATTAATCAACCAAATTCAGCAGTGCTATAAACAGACAGGTGGGAGGGAAGCAGTGCTGTGTTTGCATACATGTTGCATAGTTGATTTGCTACATACACCTTCCTTTATTTTGCCTTTCACCCCACTTAAAGAAGGACACTGGGGAGTGTTGGTAAACAAGCTTGGCCACTGCGGTAGTTAGGACGTTTTGCAAACTTCGAAGGCCACCGAGCAAAGGGAACAGTGAGGCCTATCCAGTCACTGTAGCACGGAGGAAACAACCTAGGAGCGGATTGAGAACAGGTGTGTGGTGCTGTAAGTACACGGCCATGCTACCAGCCTGCTGCCCCACCTGAGGGACTTCCTGAGGGACGTAGAGAGTGGGCCAGGCCCAGGCAGAAGGCTGGGCCGAGTTATGGTGCCCAGCAGCCTGGAGGCAGGCATCGAGGTCTCCAGCCGGTCACTCCTCTGCTCGACTGAGATCATCCATGCTCTTCCTATAACCCCCTGCCTCATTTATTTCAACATCTGCGGGAAATACATTTGTGATCCTGCAAACAACAGGCTCTTTGACTACAGAGCCGTAATGAATTCCCGAGCAACATCTGTCCTCCGTGTTGCATGAGGCAAGTGTCATGCTGGCAGACAAATATGCAATGGCATAATTAGCGACCATCAAAAACACACATGCAACATTTTAGGATAAACAAGCATAGGCTTTAAATAAGAGGAAAAAAAAGCAGCCATGAAGCAAGCAGAGCCTGATGTGATCCACAGCACAACCATTCTGGTTCTCCACACACCCCCAGCTCATGGGACGATGAATCCCAGCCCTGGTCATGATGCTGCTCTTGGCTTGAAGGTCTGTCAGGATGCATCTGGGCTAATCACAGTCGTGTGTTTCTCTATTTAAGATCTTCCTTTCTCTATTTAAATTCTTCCTGAACCAAAATACGGCACTAAGAGAAGCTACCTATTAAGCTCATCAAAAGCCTCAAGGAAAGTCCCAAAGAATGTTTACTTCAGACATCTGTAGTAAATAAAGCTGTGATACCACAATGATCTCACATTACACTCCCCCTACGCACCACTCATCCTACAGAAGCCTAATGGAAAAATCATCAGCTAATTAAAGACTTCATAAGCAAATACAAAGAGCAGAGCACAAGGTAACGCTGGTGGCAGGCCAGCCCTTGATGGACTGAGAAAAAGATGAGCCTCTAACCAGACCCGAAGGGTGGGTGCCGCATTGCCCCTGAGCAGTGCGGTTCCCAGGGCCAACAGAATTCCTTCCTAAAGGGCTGCCCAATAGCTGGCATGCTGCAGCTCTACAAGAGCACACGCCTAAAAGCTGTCAGTTCATACAGTAGCACCAAAATTAAACAAGCTAGCCTGACTGATTAAAGATGTATTTCTTGATGTTTTACCAACAATTGCCCCGTTTCCAAATTATTACATTTATAAAACACCACGTTAAATAGCATCTTGAACAGAGTACTGTTTAGTTTGGTCATGTAACATAGAGAGAGCTTTCTGCTAAACTCCTAATCTCGCACCCAGAAATTAACTATCTTTGTCAGCCCAAAGTATCTAATTGTTAGGTACAATTTCAGACATCAAAAATAACAAGCTGTTAGTGGACAGGCATTTCTCTGTTTAAATCAAGACTTTTTGATCTTATCCCACGTTCACATGAGGTGACAAACTGAAAAGGGTAAGGGAAACCACTATAGAGACAAACGATAAGCAGAGCAATTCCCCAAAAGAAGTTAATGCACACATGGATTATGACTGGAAATGTTTTAATTCTCAGTGTTGATCCAGTAACACTGCTTACAGATACCTTACGGTTTCACAGGATATGTCAAGGATGAAAGAAAGACATGAAGAATAATGAGGCTTTCCTGTTCCGTGCTGAGTATGAGGTTACTCCATAGTTAGTGTCACTGAGCAGGAAAAACTCCAAAAATGAATAAAGTGCAACACACTATAAATATCACCATCAGACTAAATCCTCGAGATGTTAAGAAAATCATAAAAGGGAGACTGTTTATACCAAGTTCACCAATTCCTTTTAAAAATCAATGACAATTAAAAGATAGTAAGTGTGACTCACTTGTAGTCATTAATATGATAAAAGTAGAGGGTCCAGAATAACCTAAATATTGCCTCAAGGTTTTGGTATGAATGTCACCATCCACTTTTATCAAATCAGATTACAGAATTTTATTTGGTTACAGATAGATCCTGTGATTGTACAATAGAAATAACAAATACTGCTTCTACATGATTTTGCCAAGCATCCTGGAAAATCACTGTAATGTTATTTCTCAATTGAGGTCTTCCCACACAAGAAACAAGGATTACCTCTTCTTCTGTGTAGGACATCCATCACTCAATTTTCAACATAAGTGAAAAATTATATGCTTTGATGTATAATGACTGTTCTTCCCATGCCTTGTTAAGACAGCATGGGTAGAGGGAAGGATTCTGAGCAGAAAAGCAAGAAGCTCGACCTTTTTGCCACATTTTTGGAGGGCTAAGTCTGGTAAGGAAGTTGACACTGTATAAATTACTGGAGAGGAGATTTTAAGATTGGGAAACCATATCTGACTTCCTGCTAAAGAGAGCATAACAGATGAAAGGATCATGAATCTCGTTTGCAAAGATGACCTCCTGGCCAGTGAGCAATTGCTGAAGCTATAGGTGGCGCTGAGAGCAATGGGATTTCTTCTCAATGGAAGAAGAAAAAAAGATTCAAAGCACACCAGCAGGACTGAAACTCCAAAAACATTTCAGAAGACGAGGTGAGGTAAATTTACACTTTTTCAAGTGCTGGAGGACTTCAGAGGACAAAAGTGAGGAAAACTGCACTGTTACCAGGCCAGTACTCTGTGTACAAGCTGACCAGCATCTCCTGGGAATCTCCATGTTACAGCAGCCTCCTGCCATAGGAGACGAGGCTTGGTGAGTCAGGGGAAATTCAGACATGCTGCCATAATAAGTATAATTAAGCTGGGCTTAGTCCAACAGAAGAACTCTGTTATATTATGCGGGCAAATACCTTACCAACAAATATTCAGGAAGCATTTCTGCCTGCATACCTGGCACCTATTACACGTTGGCCACGGGAGTTCCCAGTACATTTCCTTTCTAGCCAAGTATTGCATTTTCACCGTGGACACTAACTACAGGCCTGAAGGAAGAGGCAACTGATTCAGTGCATAATGGTTTATCCTACAATTATATTGCTTACGCAAGGAAGGGTTAACAAGAAACACTCACTACAACGGTTCACAAGAGGTTACAAAAAAAGCTATGTCATCATACATGATTTCACTGCATATCCACCTCACAGAACTTAGAAGATGGAACAGAACTGTATCTTCCTAGAAATACTTAAGGAATTAATTCAGATTCTGAAAGATTGCCTTACCACCTTTATGTAACTTTTCACCAATGCTTCACATTTTACTTGAAATTGTGCTAGTAGTAACAATAACAACAACAACCAGCCATGAATATTTAAAAAGTTCAGCTAAAGGATGCCAAGAATATTTTTTAAAAATGGTAGAGATCACTGGTTAATCTTTTTCTACAGAAATCCAAACCACAAGACAGATAATGTAGATGGTAGGGTTTCAAACTTCATCAAAAACCCACAAGCA